TAGCTGGGGCAGTAACTATAGTAACGCAGTGTAGGCGGAGCCGTGACGTCATCTTCAATGAGAACCACAGAAAAACAACATCAGCCGTTAGCTGTTAGCCCTCAGAGCTCACATCTCCTCATATCTGTTCAGAAACTAGACAAAAGTTAAACAAGTACAAACCACAGACTGTCTGTGTAATGGACGAATACAGTCGCTGGTTTATTTATGTCTGTATAGGCCGTTGTTGTGAGTGTGGACGGTCGGAGCATATACTGCGTTAGCTTAGCCGATCTCCATTTAGAAAACACGTATTTTAAAAGGTGTTTTGCCTGTCGTCTGTCTGCAGACTTGTCAAAGCATTAATTCATGGTTTTTACAAACAGGTATCAGTATGTTGTTACTTCGGCATAATTTTTTAAACGTGTATTTCAATTAAATCACGGTCAAATATGTTCATTTTGTTGTGGTTGTAGCCCCCTTGCCAGCGATTCTCTCTCTAGTTTAGCATACTCAGCCCGACTCGGCCTGGTTGTTGGCCCGGAAAGAACCTCAATTTTATGGGGCCAGAAAAACTGTGAAATAGTACCCGCTAGCTGGAACTAGCCTGGTGGAAATGCAACCAAAAACGGCACGCTTAAAGCGAGCTCCGCGCTGTAGTGGAAATGCGCCATAAAGTACTCAAATACAATCAAGCAATTCAAAGTAATTAATACAATGTAGTGCTTGCATGTACAAGTCTGCTCATTTGGTTTGAATTGATCTGCCCTTACTATGATTGATTAACATATCAAATAAAATTAAAATAAAGCTTTTCATTACCAAAACCACTGTAACAATATAAAAACAACTTTTAATCAATAAACATTAATTCCCAACCTAGCTTACACATTACTTAAACATAGTCATTCTAATAATTTCCTCTGCAAAACAATAATGTTTTTCTATTTGCTGCTTAAGTGTTTGATCTGGCTAAACAGCATATAATCATATTAAAACAATTATGTGATAAAAATGGGAAAAAGTGCTTAAATATGCAAACAGACAATCAAATATGTTTGAAGCAGAGTTTCTGTTTCAGCGATCAGATCTGCTTTATAAGCCTCGCAACTCCATTTTATATATATAAGTGAACATTGTGAATGTTCAAATATAAAAAAATAAGATTTTTTCTTTTGACATAACAAGGCGGGTAGACTGACTGTTTTTGAAATGCATTTATAACCACCATATATGTTTTCAGTTGGAAGTCTTGAGCAGCTTGGGTCACAGTGAGACATCTGTGAGGTTCACACACAGTTTTGGGAGATAAGGTGTATTTGGGCATATCTGTCGTTACTTATCTCCAAGGTTGATTTATTTTTTCCAACAACTTTTCCTGGCTGCTCTGAGGCAAATGTTAAGTAACACATTTGGGGTATGTTCAAGCGCTATATAAGGAGGAGAAAGTCTCCCTGAATCTCTACTGAAGATAGTCACAATGAAGTTTGTGATCTTGGCTTTGTTTGTCGCTGGTGGTAAGCTCTGAAACTGATTCTGATAGGACGAGTAACTGTGTTGCTACATCAACTGTGTACATTTGTTTAACATGAAGTTGTAGCAAAGTTTGATGTGAAGCATCAAGTTTGAGAAAATCACATGTTATCCTTATGCCAAAAACTACTTTGAAACATTTTTGACAGTTAAAGATAAAGAGTTTATATCATAAAATCACCATATTCTGTACTTTTGTTCATTAGCTTACGGTTGTGGTCTGCCCACCTTCACCCCCACCATCACCAGGGTGGTTGGTGGAGATGATGTCCGTGAGCACAGCTGGCCCTGGCAGGTATGCCCCTTTAAGACTTCTCATTAAACATATTTCTCTTCTATTCATTCCCTAAAGTCTTTAAACATGTCACTGTGTGTTCTTCTCAGGTGTCTCTGCAGTACAAGAGTGGCAGCAGCTTCTACCACACTTGTGGTGGCACTCTGATCTCCAGAGAATGGGTCCTCACTGCTGCTCACTGCATCGGGTATGTTTAAACAATTAAAGAAATCTAAAATTAAGAAGGTATAAAGGCAAAGGGGACAGAGAGACCCAGGTAAGCCACTTAGTAGACAGGATGAGTGAGGCAGTATGGAAGTAAAAAAAAGTTAATTTACTGCAGTCTGGTATGTAAGATTTGAACTGTGGTCACTGATTGTTAGTATATATACATTTTTCTTTAAACCTCTTAAGCCCCAAGCCTGTTTTTCAGGTTTCAGGCTCGAAAATGACATTCCCAGAACAAATGACCATATCTTCCCTTCTAAAAGGGTTAAATTAATAATCTTTTTTCTCAAAGTAATGATAAACCTTTGAGTTGGATGTAGAAAAGTCAGAATCAAC